GTCTCAAATAAATAAAATACTTCTCCCTTCATAGAATCGATAGATTGGTGACTCCCAAGTCTACAAACTTAAAGCTACATTTACCAACGGCCACTTTAAAGTAATTTGATGGGTGAATTCATACCATAATTATAAGATATGTCAAAATGCGGATTCACATCAATTGTGCATTTAAGTGCTTGTTTGGTAAAGTTTTTAATGCATAATTAAAAGTAGATAAAAATTGTGAATTCTAAATAATATCTAATAAGCTTATAAGTATTACCAAACAAGCACTAAGATATTACCACGAACTTTATTGGTTCGTTTGAACCCTATTTTTTTAAAGAATATATTTTGTAATACTGATTTTTTTAGAGAATATATGGTTAAAAAACAGAGAAAAAAATTTAAATTTACGTACAAAATTATTTTCATGAAGAATATATAATTAAAAATGAATTTATGAATAAATAAATATTTAAATAATGATGCTACTTAATTATAATGACTAGGAGTTGACCTTGTACGGTGAATCCGCACCTTCGACCTATTTATTTGATCCAAAGTACAGGACCCCGACGCTGACCAAAGTACATGCATATGGAAAAAAAAAAATAAGAATTATTATTTATTAATAAATGTGACCGAAATTACAAGCTCACAACGGTCACTTATCACAACAAATTTGTTGGTTTATAAATGCATTTAATTTGTTGCCGACAATGAAAAAAACTTCCCAAAAATTTAACACCGTTTAGTTGTTTTATTAATACACAATAATTAATGAAATGTGGCCTCTGAACTTCCTTTTAAGCACATTACCGTTGGGGGCTCTACATTTCAATTTATACATTTCTTGACATATATATATATTCTTTGTTAAAGTTTATCAGTGTGTTTAAAGAGGAACCCATGTCGTAACCGGTCATAGTCTTTGGTTCTCTCATACGGAAGCTTCTCAATCTCTCTTGTGTGTTCTTTGTAACCATCTAATTGTGTTCCACTTCGCTCGTGAAAGGCTTGCCTCGTGAGTTTATGCAGCACATTGGACACCCTCCCCATACAGTTCTCCCAAAAGTAGTTGTTACCTTACAATTTTCCTTTTCGGTAAGCGGTCTTTTCTTGAATTATTTATAAAGTATTAGACAAGAGTTGACAGTACATGGATGAAATTTTTGTAGATTAAAACTGCATTTTTTGGCATTACTTAGCTCTTGCTTTATTATTAAAGACAATAATTTGATGCATGGTTGGTGCAATTTAGTGACGCATAATGGCTAATGTGTGAGAATATATAGAACACTTTCCAGCATAGAATTCCAAGCCTTTCATAGAAAAAAGTCACAATCTGGCTTTTGCTTTTACTTCAGCTTTATTGTGAATCTTTTTTCATCTTTTGTGTCTTGATTCTCAGCAGAGTTACACTTCTGCTGTAAGTTAATCTCCTTTTTGATTCATCATGATAAAGTGACATTCTGCTTTTCCACTTTGATAAAGTCAATAAAGAATATATTGCTTTTTAACATAAAATAAGGACCCCTAATCTATGGATGCATCAATTGCAATTATTTATTTTTTGCTGTTTTTGCTTCTGCATGATCATGAAGTCTCAAGTCTCTACAGTATTTTCATAAATGGGCACTTTCTGTTACTTTCTTAGATGTTCTTGTTAAATTGATTAAGGTCAATTCTTTATGACATTGTTAATGTTATAACATTTTGAATCATAATTTCTGTCTTGAGCAGAGTCAGAACAGTACTTTAAATGTATCATTTTGTGACTACGATTGTCATGAATCCAATATTTTTGATCTGTGCTCGTGCCATGTGTTCATGATAATTTTTTCAAAGCATTTAGCCAATGCTATGCTTCCAAATCTAAATCGAATGGCTCGCCTTTCTTACATGAAAAAGTTTGAAAAGAATTGACTTTTTGTCCAAAAGCGGCCAAACCAATATGGAAATATGAATTATAAATTTATAATTGAAATTTCAAGAGTTCAAATTCTTGCTTCAACCATTTACATCATCTGATTGTTTCCCAGTTTGTGACTAAGGAAATTATGGTGCCTTTTGGGAGAGCACATTGAAGGAGGTACATGTACTTCAACTCTCATTTAAAATTGCAAATTAAAAGAGAGTAGGGTAGTAATATCAAGCTTGAGTATGTCCATGATTTATCTTTTGTTTCTTAAAGGGGATGAGGATGGTATTTTCTTCTTCTCTATCGGTCAAAGAGCAATTTGTATAGAATCTTGTTTGGAATGTATCTTTTTTATTCTTTACAGTCTCAGTTTCTTGCTTCTGCAATACACTTGAAACAAAATTACATTGCTCAAGAGTGTAATTCACTCTTAAGCAATTCAGTACTTCTTTCCATTGCTCGTATTGAATTATCGCTTTCTCTAGTTTCTATATTTTATTGTGCTTAATAGATGCTTCTTTTAAGTCTCTGCTTCTTCTCCAGGACAGAACAAGAACTGGAAAAGCTGCCGGGATCAAATTCAACTACTTGTGTCATCTGCTACATTTTACCAAATGAAACTTCTGTTTCTTGTGGCAGCTGTTGCAAATCTCTTTCTGTTATTACCGAATTTTCAACAGATTGTTGCTGATCTTGATTCAGACAGGAGGGCTCTACTTGATTTTGCTGATGCTGTCCCACATCTCCGAAAGCTCAACTGGAATACTGACATTTCTATATGCTCTTCTTGGGTTGGCATAATTTGCAACAAGGATGGAACTAGAGTGCGTGAAATCCATCTTCCCGGGATTGGGCTCTATGGGACGTTACCGGCGAAAGCCATTGGAAAACTCGATGATCTTAGGGTCCTTAGCCTTCGATCCAACCATCTCATTGGAGGTCTTCCTTCTGATATCCTATCCATTCCTTCCCTCCAATCCATCTACCTTCAACACAATAACTTCTCTGGTGATGTCCCTCCTACCCTCTCTCCTCGACTTAGTGTAGTTGACCTGTCCTTCAACTCTTTCACGGGGTCAGTTCCATTGACGGTTAAGAACTTGAAGAGATTATCTACGTTAAATCTCCAGTTCAATTCCTTCTCCGGAGGTGTCCCCAATCTTGACCTCCCAAGGCTTAAGAGTTTGAATTTGAGCCATAACATGCTAAATGGCTCAATTCCATATTCCCTACAGAAGTTTCCGATTTCTTCCTTCATAGGAAACTCTCATTTATGTGGTCCACCACTGACTTCTTGCTCTCCATTATCTCCATCCCCTTCCCCTTCGATTGACAAATTTTCTCCTACAATTTCTGGAATACATAATGCTTCTCACCCGAAAAAACTTAATTCAAGAGCTATCATTTCTATTGTGATTGGTGGCTGTTCAATATTACTTCTTCTAATTTTGGTGATCTTGTTCTTCTGTCGGAAGAAGAAAGATGGGGGCATTAGTGTGACAAAAGCTAAGGCCTCTAGTGGTGGAAAGAACGAAAATTTGAAGTCCGAAGATTTTGGTAGTGGAGTACAAGGAGCCGAGAAGAACAAGCTCGTATTCTTTGAAGGGTGCTCTTACAGCTTTGATCTCGAAGATTTGTTAAGGGCATCAGCTGAAGTACTTGGGAAGGGTAGTTATGGTACAGCATATAAGGCTGTTCTAGACGAGGCAACTGTAGTAGTGGTGAAACGTCTAAGGGAAGTTGATGTTGGAAAGAAGGAATTTGAACAGCAAATGGAGATTGTGGATAGAATTGGTCGGCACCCTAACATTGTGCCAGTTCGTGCTTATTATTATTCCAAAGATGAAAAGCTTCTCGTCTGGGAATACATACCTGCTGGTAGTTTGTCTGCAGCCTTGCACGGTATGCTTTCCTCGTGTCTTTCCTTGTTCTATTGGATTATGTAGAAGTTAATTATACTGTTCACTATTCCCTCTATTACGGAAACACCCTAGATTCCTATCCTACATAAAGGAGTTTGAGCCTTGAGATAGACAAAAACACAGAGGTGTGAGATCTTCCCAAACTTGTTCTTGATTTTAATGAAAATCTCATTTTCGAGTAGACTTACGTCTTAGCTTTCACATCAGCAGTGAACAACTATAAATATTTGTGTTTCTGCATGCTCATCCACAACAGTTTCATTCAATTATGATCTCCATAATCAGTGAGAAATCACTAAGTATAATGATAGCTCCTTAACTTATTATGTATGATGAACCACAATAGGTAACAGAGGCACTGGAAGAACTCCATTAGATTGGGACTCCAGGCTGAAGATTTCGCTTGGAGCAGCAAAGGGAATTGCCTATATCCATTCTGAAGGTGGTGCTAAATTCACTCACGGCAACATAAAGTCCTCAAATATACTCCTCAACCCAGATCTTGATGGCCGCATTTCTGATTTCGGCTTAAGCCCTCTGATGAATTCTTATACTATCAAATACCGTGGTGCTGGTTATCGAGCTCCAGAAGTGATTGAAACTCGAAAAGTCACTCAAAATTCTGATGTCTACAGCTTTGGAGTAGTCTTACTTGAGATGCTCACAGGCAAATCCCCTATTCAATCTTCAGGCTACAATGATGTTGTTGATCTACCTAGGTGGGTGAGGTCTGTTGTTCGAGAGGAATGGACAGCTGAAGTTTTTGATGTGGAGCTGACCAAGTATCCAAACATTGAAGAAGAGTTGGTGCAAATGCTTCAGATTGCTCTTGCGTGCGTGGTAGAAGTACCAGATATGCGACCAAATATGGAAGATGTAGTTAGAATGATTGAGGATATTCGACAATCTGAACTTGAGAACAGACCGTCGTCTGAGGACAATATGTCGAAGGAATCCAATGTGCAAACACCAGAATAATTTGAGCTTTTAGCTTATAGTTTGATTCTTGAATCAACATAAAAAATTTGTTGTTCATCACCATGGTTCATGTAATCTCAGCAAATTTCTGGTCATCAAATATTTCTCTGCACATTAAGATTAGCCACATGCTTCCAGTTTTTAACCCTTGTTTGTGCCTCTTTATCTTGATGTAGTGACCCTTACATATAAGCCATTATTTGTGTTCTCTCTTTATATCTTTTGGAACTTTGAACTGAATTTGAACAAATCCATTTTTGTATAAATTATAATTCAGAAGCCCCATTGCAAGTAAGATCCATTTGTAGAAAACTATCCAAGTTCTCTAACGTTTTGGTGCTTATGCTGGACTTAACTGAATATTAAGTAAACCGTCAGAGGTTGAGCTTCATTATATCCTCGAAAGCAATTGCTTGAACCCAAAGGTACGCTATAAGTTGCGAGTGGCGCAAAAAACACTTAAAAGGAAAGTGATGGTGTAACACGAATTGAAGTCCATCTCTATTCTTTGATCGCCAAATCAACACATTTTCTTACGTGGAACATGTTAAAAGAGATAGAAATAGACAATGCGTCTTTAGATCTTCCCGTAGATATATAGTAATATATTGTGTTGACCCCAAAAAATGAACTCAACAGATGTCGGGCCCACTCTTACCACGTCAAGTGCTGATCTGGCATGTTTCTTCCGGAATAGGAACGGAGGTTTGATTGTAATGAACGTGAGAGGCACTTTTTGGTGAGAGACACAAATGTTCGGACTCCGGCGATTGGGTTTGAGAAGCACTCACGCTACCAACGAATGCTTGATCTGTTTAACTAAATCTCTCCTTTCATAATGGAATATGTGGAAGGATAGATATGAAAATATATTGTATATTCTTGGAGTATCAACGCGTGTTCTCCCTTACGTTTTGTAAGACAAAACAAAGTAAAGTATATAAAGATGTTCTTTCTTTTTCTTGATTGCACCCCCCCCCCCCCCCCCTTCAGTACAAAGAGAGGTTATTTATACTAATCTAACCGACGTGGTGACCGTCCGATCACATCCACGTGGCAACATCTCCTAGACCAAAGACTCACATCATTGTTCATTCATCGTATTCAATGTTTGACAAAGGATCAGTCGTGCTAGTAATGGGTTGACACCCTGACATATTAAAGCTACAGACACTTTATTACAGACGTCCCATCAATCAATTCTATGAGATCTTCAAATTTGTTGGGAGGCAATGTCGACATTAGTGAGTTGAGGTCAGCTTCGGCACTTACATATCTTCGGACAATGGCCTCCTATGTCGTCCTTGATTATGTTGACACCCCTATTGACTTTTCAATTGGCTCTGCATCCACTTGGCTATAGAAAGTACATGGCCGTCCACGGGGAGTGCTGACCTGGAGCCTCTGATTTTGGGGGGTAACATATTGCATAGCTCACAATTGTTGAAGGGTACGCACGGAAAAACATGAATAGTGTTTCTTGAGTTTCTAATCTCTTCATAAATATACAATTATGTAACATTTTTCATTTTTCTCATCTTTTCTTGAGTACATTGACCAACAAATCCCAAGCTCAATGTCGACCAGTCTTTTATGCTACAAGGGTAATTTTGGCATTCCAGCATTTTTCAAAAATTGGTTAACCAACGACAATTAAACTGTTTTTATCCAATATTATCATGACTTTCCATACTTTGTTCAAATCTCCGCATTTTTATCCATCTGCGTGTCTTTTCTCCCCCACCCCCATCCTCTCCCCCAAAAATGTTGCATTATCGAAGGCTTCCACTTCACAAGATCTTAAAGTGATTGTTTTTTCCTATCCATTTCATGAATAATAATATGATCTGCCATAAACATTGGATTCTATATTTAATTTGTTGTTCAATTCAATCAAGGAAGAATGAGATTAATTCTTGAATGTTGTTGAATTGTTTGTTCTGCATGCCAATACCATTTATTAGATCCTTTTCCTGCAAACCGATAGTATTTAGATTTACGAATATTAGAGGGTGATTGTGAGGTTCGATGAAGAATTATGGAAAACATAGAGATTCAACGGGATGTTTTCTGATTAATATTAATTGGAAATTGAATCCCTTTTTGTTCATCGTGACTAGAGGATTGCTTGTTTGGAATGGTTCGAGGACAACTTACAAGATGCCGCAATTCCCTTTTCCTTGGTGGCGGCCGAGGGGTTGGGTGGTTGTCATTTTGAATAAAAGGCGTAGTTGAGTCTCAATTCTTTTAGAATGCCGTAAAGTTGTAGCAGGGTTGTCGCCTAAAAGGCTTATTTGAGTCTCGACCCTATTAGATTACAAACAAGTTGTAGAAGGCTTGTCGTTTTACCTAAACAGGCATATTTGAGTCTCGTTTCTATTAGAATGAAAACAAGGTGTAGAAGGGTTGTCATTTCAACTAAAGGCATATGAGTCTCAGTTCTTGGATTGCAAATAAGTTGTAGAATGGTTGTCGTTTTTACACTAAAAGGTATCATTAATCTCGATCTATTGGATTGAAAACAAATTGTGTTTGTCAATTGTCATAGTTAACTTTGGAGGTTTCAATAACTGTCTAAGAAGAATTACCGGAGAAGCGAGACTTGAAGATATCTCAAAGTAATGATGGTGCAATCGCGTACATTTTTTTCTTGTAGTAAATGAGACTTAATGAAATTTGCAGCAAGCTTCGCAAACCAATGTTTTTTTGCATTTGCGTTAATTGGGACAGTTAGGTGGAAGAAAAGTTAACAAGATTAGACTGAGGTGGATGAAAGATAAAATGTTATCGAGGCTGTTTTATACTTTTATATCTATTATGACCATTTGCTCGCAATCTGACTTACAAGCTGATGCATTTAAACTTTTAGCTCGCAGCTGTAGTCCTTTCACCATCTTTTAGCTGTGCATAGGCGATGGGACAGTGCTGGACTAAGGTAATCAATGTTCAGAAACCGGTCGTACTGGAGATTTGTTTTCTTTTCTTTTATATGTTCTTGAGATAACTGCCACATGTATTCATTTATTAGGTTTGTTCAGGTAGATAAAGAACTTGGTCTAATTGCAGTTTTGCACACAAAACGATAATGAAAAGAGTACTACAGCAGAGATCGGAGGTAAAAATGTTCACTTTATAACTACAGTGGAGAAGTGGGAAGAAAAGAATTTGGAAGCAAGCAGGGAAGGGAAGATGGTAAGTTAACTATGCTTTATTTTCGAGAATGATTTAGGAGTTGGCTTTGATCAGCAAAAAGCAATAGCTTTGGAGCTTGTTACTAATTTTGATATGAGAATTCGTCTTCCTCATTTTTTCTCACTTTAGACATTCTTTTTTCGATTTGTAATTTCCAAGTTTCCAACAGGTGGCGGTTAATTTCAGTACATCTTGGAGTAATCCTTGTAGAGAGATAGCACCAGCTTACTCTGAGCTTGCCGATAAATATCCTTCAATTTTATTTCTAACTGTGGACGTTGATAAATTAGCAGTAAGTTGCTACTTTTTCTTCGAACATGCGGATTTGAATACTGGATTCTATGCTATTGTCAATCTAGATTACCAGATGATGTGCAATCCTACGTGCTGAAAAGCGGAATATATTGATATATGAAAATGTTGTGCTGATATGGTGTAGGAATTGAGTACTAAATGGGACATCAAAGCCACTCCATCCTTCTTTTTCCTGAGAGATGGACGACAAATGGACAAACTTGTAGGTTCCAACAAGGCAGAGCTCCAAAAGAAGATGGCCATTGCTGAGTCAAATTGAAGGTCCTTGAATTGAATCTTCTTTTTTGGTTACTCTATGTAAACATTTATAAAGTGTTTGGTAAAGTGAATATGATAGTTTTGGACAGTATTTGATAAGATGAAGAAAAGTTGAAAATATTGTCATAGTACTGTTCGGTACTGTCTAGTAATATAACAATGTACCAAACATGTAGTTTTCCTAAATCACGAATTTCGATTTTTGATACTTCAAGATTGTGATGACTAATATTAGTGTACATCTGTTTTCCTCTTTCAGCTATTAAAGAGTGATCAAAAAGTTTCTGTTTTTTAAAATAAGCCAATGTGAATCTCAACATTGGAGCAACACTTTATTACAGCTGATGTGTAGTATATTCCAATTCTGTACAGAGAAATCTCACATTTCTGAATGGTAGATAGGCGAATGGTCTTGTTTCGGTATCTTGAATGGTAGAACTGCAATTCGTTATATGTATTAAGATGACGACCAACAACAAACTAAATCTTTATCCAATAAATTTGGAGTCGGCTTCACCAATCCTTCCCTTACTGCTAGATGATTAGATCCACAAGAAGAAATCCTTAGCGAGTAATACAAGCCATTTTATTAGTGGTATATGCTTCCCTCTTCTACTAAATCTCTCGACTTTCATAACGAGTTTCCAAAAAGGTGCGGAGCCACGAAATTATTGCAGTGTAGGCAGAGTTGCCAGTTGAATTTTGCCGGTAAGGATCAACGTGGGTCGATTTTGTGCCCAACTCGAAATTGAAACAGACCAAGTCGGTTTGGGTAAATTGCAACCCAACCCAGTTTATGATAACATAAACAATACAATCAAAACATGTAATGCAAAATGCCAACATAAAGGAAAAATTGCTTGCAGAGATAACCTTTATGGTAGTAATTTTTGAGTAGTCTAAGTGGAGAAATAACTCAGAAGACGCTGTCGAATTGAAAGTGAATTATATAAGATGAACATTGCCCTTCTTTTTGAAGTAATTTGCGCAATAAGTTTGTAGCACGAGGAACATGGGAATTAAAAATTCGTGAAGGATGATATTGAAATCTTACTAGAAAATAAAAACGGAAAAGTGCAATTTTGAATGCTTCTCAAAAATTAATGTCACTATGCAAAAGCCTTCTAACATCTAACAACCAAATAACTACATTGGGTGTTTCTATGATGAGTGTCCCTTCTGGCGCAAGCATGGCTTTGTAATCTTCATTTCTGCAACCTCGAATGTTGCTAAAAAACACGCTCTGAAAAACGTTTCACAGATCTGTAGAACTAGGCCACAGCTTCACATAGCTGAATCCCTTAAAGGGGTTTTCGCCACATTTTGGACTAGCAGCTGGTGAATCTAGAAGTGGCATGTTGGTCCAACGCTCATCAAAATTGGCGATGCAGTGTTTTCCTGCTACTAGTGGAAGGAAGCTTGGTTGAATTTCCCGAGCCTCCAATTTCTTCCAATTGATAGACTTGAACCACTTGTGGCCTTTTATCTCATCACTTCCTCTTACCCCATTCCCAAGGCGCTTGTTCACCTCCTTTTGAAGCAACTGAAGTAGAAATTGAATGGAAAACGGTCAGTCCTTTACCGCATACTTTTTTACTTCAAAAACAGTGTGACTAGAAATGAATATTATAAACGAAGATATGCCATGCCGATGATAATCGGAAAAGTTCCTTGTAGAGTTACTTACAACCGCCTGGTTCAATCCAGATGAATGTGTGATTGAATAGAATATATTGCTATCTATATCATCGTCAGTAGAAAACAGATACAGCAGAGCTCTTACCCCTTTCAGTAGAGAGTGAGCCTCACTTGACAAAAATGCTGGCAGCTTGATTTTGTCCTTCAGTACCTTCTGCTGAATTTTGTGACGATTCCCACCAACAAAAGGCGGCTGAAATAATACAGGACAAAATATTATAAACAACAAAATACATATTTAGTTAAAGATAGCCATGGGAAGTCATAGAAAGTTTTAAGAATTTCATCATCATGATCATAAACTATCCAATCCCATTAAAAAGTCGACTGCTTTTTTCTCTTCTACTCCCTGGCTTAAATTTTCTCAATTCTTCTGAGAATATTGTTGAGGTCATGAGAGCTGTCATCCTAAATTTTAGTTGGAAGTTGTAAGTTGTAACCATTATTTTATGATCAAGTAACTAATGTGCACAATGATTTTTCTGAATAATAAATTCAACAGGCGATCAAGAATAACAATCACCCTAAGAATTCACAATAAGATGACAGGAAAAACTCCTTGCCTAGAACAACGAAATTAACAATTACAGAAGTTATAATTAAACAAAACAATCAACATGGTTCATCCTCCACGTAAAGGAGCATTTTAACAGAAATAAGTATTATCGCAAAGTAGGGAACGAGGTAATTAATTATAAGCAAAGAACTAACCTTCCCTGTCAACATTTCATACAAAAGAATTCCCAAACTCCACCAATCTGCAGCCTTATCATGACCTCCACAGCAAATGATTTCTGGTGCCATATACTCAACTGTTCCGCACAAGGAGTAAGATCTTGTGTTCTCATCAGATTGTTTTGCAAGCCCAAAGTCAGTCAGCATAGCCTGCAAGAGATAAAAGAAGAAAGAACATTACAAAATAAAGCCTTGACATACCACACATCTTATTCTTCGAATTTAACGAGATACAGATTCCTATGCGGTTAAAACAAACCGAGGAGCTCTAACAACATAAAATCTGTGCAGAAAAAGCCATTTATGGCAAGAAAAAAGTGGTAGATTTCTTACATGCCCCTCTGCGTCAAGAATAATATTTTCAGGTTTCAGATCCCTGTGCATTATGCCTTTTGCATGGAGGTGAGAAACAGCAGAAACAATCTCAGCAGCATATATACGTGCCAAATCCTCTCTGAAAACAAATACCACATGTTAAAATACCTCAATGTAAAGTGGACATTCTTTATCAGAACAAACATCATAATACCTGAATAGGCCTTGACGGTAGAGTTGAAAGAAAAGGTGACCCCCATTGATGAAGTCAAGCACAAGGTACAATCTGTATTTAGTCTGGCCCAAAGAAATTATTAAAAACATTAGCAAAATTCAAAATATGTCAAACTGAAATAGACAACCTCATAGTTTCCAATCTTATGATCCAAAATTAAGGATGCCACGCCCACAAATTTGGACCATGCACTCAATAAGAGCAAAAAGGACGCATATCAACAATTTGAAAATTGAATACCTGGAAGGAGTATCTAAGCTTCACAATGAAGGGATGATCTATTTTTGTCAATATATCCCTCTCTGTTTTCATGTACTCAGCATGGTTTTTCTTTATAATGTTATCTTTGTGCATAACCTTCATAGCGAATATTTCTGATGAACCAATCTTCCTCACCTGGTACACTTTTCCGAATGCACCTTGCCCAACAACTTTCAAAAATTCAAAGTCCTCAAGCCCTACTGTCTTCTCTGAATTGCAATCAACTTCAAGAATAAACTCCTTCGGAACAACTGTCTCAATAGCAGCTTCAGGAAATTTCTCTTGAGCCTCTCCGTCTACTTCGTCCACAAGTTCAAGTAGACCTTCTCTCTCATGCAATGCGAGCTTGTTGAGCTTTGATACTTGACTTAAACAAGAAGTGGGACCCACATAGGAATGGAAACGACTATGAATTACTTCTGGATCATTATAAATTAATTCTTTCACTTCAGATGGGACAATAAAATTTTCGGAATCTTTAGATATCAAAGGTAAAGTTGCAGGAGTTGTTGCAGGACCAAAAACGTCAGAGAAGTCCAAATCAACATGTTCCAATGAGAAGGCATCGGGGACTTCCACTGGAAGGGGAACGTGACTTGGGAAAGTCTTCAACAAATTGTCGCCAATCAATGTCGAAAATTGAGAGGTAACCATGATGCTAAAGATGAAACACAGGAAGCAGATTGACTTCAAACTCCAAGCAATGATAAAATAATTTCCCACGGAGACTTTTAAATCAGGACTGATGAAGAAGGACAATATGCAATAGCCTTGAACAGAAGGAAGTTCTCAATTCCAACAGACGCTCCAAAAGATACCGGGGAAAGGCAAAGTAAAAGCCAGAATCGGAACTTGCTCTTGTTTCCTGCTTTAAAGGAAACAGTAGATGTAGCAGTGCTTTTCGGATTCATGAAGACCAGACAATCAAGGCTGTAAGTGCAAAAGAGTTGCAGTTTCAGCATAAAAATGCAACATCCAATATGGACATAAAATATGAGATCAAAAACAAGAAACACTAGGTACTGAAAAAATGTGATGCTCAACATAACAAAAGAAAAAGCATGTTGTTTCAATGTTTACATCACTGCTAATACTTTGCCAGAATTTCCATTTCTTCATTCCTAGGGGTGCAGTCCATGCCAAATAAACAACAATTAACAAGACTAATAAATTGAGAGGCTTATGAAATCTGATTTTTGAACACTGGCTGAAATCTAAATGATTTTCACGATTGACATAACTGAATAAGCGCTTGCAAAATGATGTATTCTAGGAAACTACCATTTTTCTCAAAAGCAATAGCTAATGGAAAGGCGCAAAGTAGCCCTGTCTCACTCAGAATGAGGCCTAGAAATCCACCCGAAGCACTAATCGTCTGGGCCTTTAATTCTAAGTATCCCTTATGAAATAGGCTCTAACTCATGTTCAGTGATGCTCTACACCAATGTACCATCTATACATCTACATGACACTCTTTATCTATAAAAAACAAGCATCCCCTTTAAGTAATATCATGATCCAGTGGCACGTAAAAATTTCTTGGTAATTCAACAATTACCAGAAATTAGTATGATCTTTGCAAATAAATCATCACTTCACCTAATTTTGTAGGTTCATATCAAACTGAAGAAAATCCTATAATGTCCCAAAAACAAGTTCTATAGTATTGACAGATCATCATCATTCTACATACATTTATTTGATCATGGACCCATCAATACAAACTGAAGAAAATTCTATAATGTCCCACAATCAAGTGATCTCACAAAAATAAGTGAACACGAGACTAATCAAAAGCAATCTATCATAAATTCAGGAAAAAAATACAAAACAAAGATTAATAAATGTGAATAAAAATCACAAATTTCGTTTAACGTTCTAACCTTGAGGAGAATTCCAGAGGGAAGGCAAAAAGGAAGTGATGGGGAAGATAACTATTGCGGGACGAAAACGGTGTCGCGTGGCCGCTTAAATAACTAACGACATAACCGTACAATCACGTAATTAGTTGGTTTACGTCAAATTTATACGCTCTACGTGGCGTGTTCTAATTGGCTATCAATGTTTGGCCAAGGTTGATGTGTAACGTACTTTTCGGCAAAGAGCATTGAAGCATGGTTTTTTTCCAAAGTTTGAGCTTCATTCTTTAAAAAATTATTTTTTTCAAACTCATTTTTATTCACATATTTTATACATATAAATTTAATTTTTATTTTTTAATCACACATTTTTCAAAAAATCACTATTATAAAATTTATTTAAGAAAAAAAAACTCAAACAAGGTCTTAATTTAACGGTAAAATTCTCCAAGCATCCCCAATCTTTTAGAGTAATGTTATTCATCCCCAGTGGGGATGAAAATACAGTTTATGTGGTATTAAATAATAGGTTAAATGAAAGGTGAAATTAAATGACTTATTTAATTTCATATATCATTTAATGCCACATTAATGCCACGTAGACTGTATTTTTATCCCCAGTGGAGATGAATAGCATTACTCAATCATTTATAGATATAGCAGTCATCTGTCCAGTTTCTGTAACCACGTCTATAACATTTTAAAATGAAAATCGTCCAAAAAAAAAAATTAAAAACTTCCTTTATTCTAGAAACTAAATGGTGACTATTTACAATACATTAAGCCCCTGTTTTGTCTACATAAAAATCCCTTTTTTTTTTTATTTTTTATTTTTTTTTTTTTTGCAAATTTGAG